CCCCCCCCCCATTACTCTACAGATGAGGCTGAGGCTCGAGGAGGCTGGACAAGCTGCCCATGGTCACACATGTACAAACTGGATATGAGTCCAGGTCTGTCCAACTTCAAAGGCTTTTCTGCTAGAAACCCTCCCAGACCGAGGAAAAGCCAGCTAAAAGGTAAAAGGGGAAGGTGAGACTCTGAGCCAGAAGCTCTGCCCTACAGTGGTTCAGCAGACACAGGAAGGTCCTCAAAGAAACAGTGGGCTCCCTCTGGAGGTAGGAGAATCCAGTGATTACAGAGCCTGCGCTCTGGAGCCACATGGCTCAGGATCCAATGCCAGTTCCACCTCTTCTTGACTGTATGATCATGAGCAAATCACTGGATTTCTCTGTGTCCCACAGGCCTAACCTGTAAAACGGGTAGAAGAGTAGTCATATTTATAAGTTATTCTGAGGACAAAGTGAGTCGATACCTATAGAATATGTAAATCAGTGCCTGGCAGGTAGGAAGGCCTCAATAACTGGCTTGTGCTCTATAATAAGAGGACAATTATTGAGAAGTAAGAGCAGTGTGCTCTGTTATCCTTGACTCTAGACATGAATCTGTCCTGCTAACCCAAGGGGTGTTTCTCACCTCATATATGGCAGCCCAGAGGGACAAGGACCCAGCTGGAGCCCTCCACAGATGTGTGGAGCTGAGCAGTTAAACTGAGCTCCAGGCAGCAGACTTGGCCAAGAAGCTGCTCCTGAGGTATGGGGCAAGCGCACTCATGAAGGTACAAGCATAAAAGTAATTCTGGAAAAGTGTAAGAGAACACAGTGATAGTGGCTTTCATTGACTGTAGATTAAGAGTGGGATTGGGGAGAAAAAAGCCTTATTTTTCATTTGCTATCTTTCTATAAGATAAAAAAGAGTACCTTTTGAATGAACTGCTTTTAAAAACTTAAACATGCTTTTGAAGAATGATATCGCTTCCATGTGCTGTTCTGAAAAGAGCTCCAAGGCAGATCACCAAGTGAAAGCAAAAGCAGGGTGTGGGTGGTGGGTCTAATACACTGCCTTCAAACTCTTTAATGCATCAGGGATGGAAAAGGGCAAAGGAAGGCCCTGAAGGCACACCACCTTCCAGGCTTCTCTCCCCATGACGCAGTGAGAGCCCGGTGGAAACGGCCAGGACTCCAGAGCCGGGCTGTTTGCCTCTCTTGTCCTCTGAGCTTCCCCCTCACCCCCTGAGTCTCTCCTGGCATGACAAGAGGATCAGATAAGTACACAGACTGAAAGAGGGGGCATGAAGACACCAGCTGCATCACTGTGCCCACCACCGCCAGGAAATGTGGCCTCATTTCAGACTGGAGTGAACAGAGCACACACCCAGGAAACCCCTTCGCAGGAAGGAGGCTTCTGACTATGTCTCCCACGAAGCAGAGGGAGGGTGACCAGAAGGACAGAAGCAGAAGGCAAGGTGGGCTTTTTAAGGACAGACATAACTTTAAAATGATAAGAACAAAGAGCCTCTCTTCAAAAATGATTGCCTTCTTACAAGAAGGTATTTTCTCGTCAGATCAGTTTATCCTCAAGATACTGAATTTTAGGGAACCTTTTAGACAAGGGATGTATCTGGGAGCTGTTCAATCCTCCGGAATTGGAAGCTTTTCTTCTAATTATGTGGTATTACTGGGATCAGCACGCCAGGAGACATTTATGTGTCTACTTGAGTTCTGGGGAGGCTGGCTGGGAAAAGAACCTGTGAACTTTCTGACCTTGTAGAATGTACCTGGAAAACCAGGCAGGCTCTGCTGCTACTGCAGGATAACTGATGACCAAACTTATTCAACATCTGAAAATTTTGTCTTCTCATGCTGTCTACACAGGTGGGTGCTAGATGATACAGTAACCATCCAGGAAGCTGGTTTTACTTAGTATTCTGGCAGAAGCAGTGTGGAGTAGAGGGTATTTTATCAGAAAAATCAACTTTCTACTGACATTGGCCACAAACATCCCTTGTGACCTCCCGAAGCCCCAGGGAATCTGGAGCACACAGCTCTGGGATGGAGCCCTCTCTCGGATTTGCCCTCCACATGGGGCATAAGTAAGTGACTGGCAGCACAGTTGTCTTCATTTATTTCTGGACCCCGCAGAGAGGGCAGCTCACCCTCTGGCCTCTGGGAGGTCATGTGGCAGAATGTGGGTGCGGGGAAAGGCAGAGTCCCCTAGACCCTCCTGGAGCAAACAGCCCAGGTGCTGCACACACTAGGACTGAAGCACAGACAAGACCCACGGAGAATCAGCATCTGGGCTACATCAGCAATGAAGCTTCCACAGACTCTCCTGGCTCAATTTCCTGGGTTGTTTGGGGGCTGGGGGCAGGGACAGGCCAGCCGACAGCAGCCACCTCACGATGCCAGCGTGGAACGTGGACACTGGGTCATCCTGACACGCTGATTGGGAATTTCTCAAACCTGGAAAGAGGCTTCAAATACTAGAGGCTCTGCTGCAAAGAATGGACGTGTGCTGGATAAGTGTTTATGTAAAAAGAGGGAGAGGGAACGGGGAAGGGGAGGGGAGAAGGAAGAGGGGGAAGGGGAGAAGGAAGAGGGGGAAGGGGAGGGGAGGAGAAGAAAAAAGAATTAGCCAACTTGCCAAAACCATGGGGAAAACTATGCATCCTCCCCACTGGCAGAACCAGGACCCAGGCAGGGGTAGCAAAGGAGGGCAGAGCACCCTCCCCTCCAATACTAAGGCCTGCAAACACGCTGGCACCCCCACCCCAAGGGCTTTCTGCTTTACCTAGCGATTTCACATAACAACTCTCCTCACACCCTCCTCCCTCAGCCCAGTGGGAAGAGGCATCGCCCCCATTTCACAAGCGAGGACAAGAGTGCTCAGTGTGAATAAACAAAGTGAAGATGCCACGAGTCCAACCCAAACCTTCCAGCCATGGCTCCTCAGCAGCAGCAGCCTTGGTGACTCCAGATGGACAAGCTCACCAATCCCATCTGAGATCCCAGAGGACAGCCAGGCCAACTGCCACATGAATGAGCGCACCATCTTGGATGTCCAGCTTGTTCGAGCCCCAGGTGACAGTACCCCCAGCTGATACCTTACGATGTAACATAACCACCCAGCTGAGCCCAGTCAACCCAAATAATCGTGAAAGATTAAAAAAAAAAAAAAA